AAAATAAATATAAAGAACCCCTTTCACTCAGTCATGCCTTTTCTGATTGCTTCCTTCATTGGTTTGTCTGGAAACCAATCTCTCTTTAAATCAGATGATAGTGATGCTGCTCTTAAACTTACTTGTGACACAGTAGAGCAAGAAGAGAAGCAAGTAAGAAAGAAGAAACCACAGGTAAAGCAATAAAACAGAGTCAGGAATGAGGCAAGACGCAAACTATCTACTGACACCTTTCACTGTTTCTAAGGCTGACTCACAAGTTAGGGTTTCAGCAGCAAATGGTAAAAGGAAAACATCCAACTCAGATTGGTAGAACCCAGAAAATAGAAGCAAACCGTTGCACAGGAAAAGCAAAACTACTCCAGTTAGTAAGACCACAGAGCAATTCTTATATGGGTTTTATGACCTCAATATCATTACTTTATAGTGATACTTTATAGTGATACTATATAGTATATTGCATTTTCTTTAAAAATATGACCTTGTGTATACTTCACTATTTCTGTCCCCTGAATGTAAATCAGTTTAATTAGAGTATTATTCCTAGACAAAACTAGCAGATGGCACTTTCGAATCATGTAATTTTAAAATGTTTTATATTTGTTATTTTGTTTGTTTTTTGAGATGGAGTTTTGCTCTGTTGCCCAGGCTGGAGTGTAGTGGCACAATCTCGGCTCACTGCAACCTCCGCCTCCCGGGTTCAAGCAATTCTCCTGCCTAAGCCGCCCGAGTAGCTGGGATTACAGGCGAGCACCACTATGCCCAGCTAATTTTTTTATTTTTAGTAGAGACAGGGTTTCACCATATTGGCCAGGCTGCTCTTGAACTCCTGACATCATGATCCGCCTGCCTCGGCCTCCCAAAGTGCTAGGATTACAGGTATTACAGGTGTGAGTCACCACGCCCAGCCTATATTTGTATTTTTTTTAAAAATCCATACAAAGTTGACATGAAAATGTTTTTAAATGGGTAAGTCTATCTAGGTTTATAATGCGAAAGCCCTTCTTGGGTCTTAAAGTAATTATTTTGCAAAGATAAAAAGTGGTACAAAGTTGTATTCATATGCCTTGATTGCATATGAATATGAATAAAGTTTCTTAAAAACTTTATTTTTTAAGAAAACAAAATGTAAAAAATCAATGAAAGGAATCAACTTGCTCATTGGATTGTTCTTACCCTTGAGGAAGAAAATTACTCCAGAGACAAGTTCTTTTCCATCTTGAATGAATACTGAATCAGCAGGGATTC